AGTTTGGCACCACAATGGATGATGACACAGCACATGGCACCTGAGACAGGTGAGGCTGCATCAAGCAGAATAAATCTGTATGGATGACATCTTTCTGCTGGGGCAGGCAAAGGCTTCCTCCTTGGACACAGTTATCTATATATTTCCAGCTCTTGCCTGAAGAATAGTGCCCCACCATGGGTCCCTGGGGCCCTCTGCTGAATACACCTTCTCACTGCCAGGGAAGGAGGATGAATGATACTTTGGAAAGGCAGATACTGCCAGTTTAACATGTTTGGGGGTAGCTGAGAAGCTGTAATTAGGAAAAAAAAAATGCAACATGAATAAATGTTGCATGTCAAGGTGTCAGTGTGACACGGAGCCACTCGTGTCCTTTGGAAATGGTCCCAAATGTGGAGCTGTGGCTCAGCACTAAGCTCAGAGAGGTCTGAAAACCTTTCATCTCTGCTGTCCAGCCTTTAATTGCATCTGGGCTCCCTTATACTCCTTTTAAAATTGTGGGCTGTCAGCTAAACTCCAGCTTAAAATTTAGATGAGGCTTTATTTCTGTTTTCCTTGGAGGCAGCCACGTCCTGCCCTGTCTGGTGCCCTCCTCTGCCAAGGCATCTCCAGGGGATGTTTAGCTGATGGGCAAGAACAGACTAATAATGGACAGCTTTCCAGTGTCGAGGTGTCTTCTTCCATCTGCTGTGTTTTCAAGAGCCCTTTAGGTGGTGAAGACATCCTTGTATCACAGAATCACAGAATGGTTTGGGTTGGAAGGGACCTTAAAGATCATCCAGTCCCAACCCCCCTGCATGGGCAGGGACACCTCCCACCATTCCAGGCTGCTCCAAGCCCCATCCAACCTGCCCTTCAACACTGCCAGGGATGGGGCAGCCACAGCTTCCCTGGGCAACCTGGGCCAGGGTCTCACCACCCTCACACTAAAGAATCTCTTCTTAATATCTCATCTAAATCTTCCCTCTTTCAGTTTGAAACTGTTTCCCCTTGTCCTACTGCTACATGACCTCGAAAAAAAGTGCATTCACAACTTTGCCTTCTTCCCCCAAGAAAGTGAATGTAATGACCAGGTGTGGGAGAAGCTGTGATTTCTGCAAGAAAAAATAATACTGAGGGTGGAGATTGTTGCTCTGGTCTAATTGATCCTCACCAAGAAGTTAAGAGGAAACAAAATGACAGATTGAAAATCTCGAGGTTTACGTAGGGTTGAGCTGTTGTTTTGAACTTCTTCTGTATGCTGGGGAGTCAGAAGCTTTATTGTGCTGAAACTGCATTTTCAGGGACCTTTAAAAACAAACCTCCCTGTGCATCCATTTCCATTAAGTGCCCTCTTGCTTTAGAGTTCAGGCATTTTAAAACAAACTTCAAAACAAGACAATAATCCCAGAGGGATTATTGAAATAGGACCTTTGGATCTGCTTGTTCTTCTCCATCACTCTGAGCAGGTGAAAGCTCTAGGGTCAGAGTGCAAATTCTACCTGCCCTGGAGCTGCTTTATGTTCTGTGAAGCTTCAGCACAGCTGAGAATAAGGAACCATATCAAGGAATAGTGAGAAACGTCTGCAAAATTAAAACCCGCGGTGTCAATAACGAGTGGTTCTGCTCTCTTTTACCCTATCACCTCAACAGCAGCTAATGATGGTAAGAAGGAATTCCTTTTTTTTAATTTTTAGTAGCCTTCAGACTCCTTTTAAGCCTTCACCCTGAGGTGCTGTAGGAGGAGTGAATCCCACCCTGGGCTCAGGATTCAGCACCGCGCCGCGTTCTCGGGTACCAGGAGATGAACGTTGCTCTGCAGATGAGTTCCCCTTGTTAGCGTGGCTTGTTGTCTTTTCTGAAAAGGCTTCACTGAAGTGTCTTGCCATCAAATTGTGCTTTGATCATCCCCGTTTGCTGTTAATGAATCCAGATGGGTTAGAGGCAACTGGATTGTGACTCTCTGATAAAACGTGCGCCACTTTTCATTTTCCCACGCGGAGTTTCAGAAGATCCTGTGCTGGGCCCTGCTAACGAATCCAGCTACAATACCATGGCCTGATGCCTCCTCATACTTAGCATCCCCAGGGACACGTGCAGATGTGTCAGGATTGCTTTGGAAAAGGTTAAAATGTTCCAGGAAAACAGGTCTCTGGGACTGTGGTCTTTCATATGGTAATCGCCTTTTTTTATTCCTTTTATGTTTTTCAGTCATGCAAGGGGCTTTGTGTTTCCTTCAAATCAAAAGATCTTGTTCAAAAATGAAGACATTGGCAGGAGCTTGGCTGGGATTTTAGTGCTGTTGCAGAGAGGAGAAAGTGGGAGAAACTACGTAGAAACCAGCAAACCCTTCTCTTTTAATGTAGCCTTTGGGTTTTTAAGTTGTTTCCTCAGATGTTGAGTTGTGTAAAGAAATAGAAAAGGGGCAGGAGAAGACCAGGTGTGATTCCTCCTGGTGTGGTTGCAGGTTCAAGCCATGAAGTTTGCTGTCACATGAGGATGCCTGGAAGGACACATCCCTCCCCTGGTAAACTAAGAGAGATCAGTTGATGTTATGGGTCTGCTGGAAATCCCACCCACCCCTCAGCAGTGAAATACCAGTGAAAAGTTCAACAAAGAAGAGAAAAGTGTCTTTGTAGGGAGTCTCATGGGAGTGGAGCAGAGGGGGACAATCCCCTCCCTGGCCCTGCTGGTCATGCTGCTGGGGATGCAGCCCAGCACAGGGTTGGTTTCTGGGCTGCCAGCACATGTTGCCAGCCCATGTTGAGCTTCTCATAAACCAACACCCCCATGAAGGTGGGATTTTGCTCTGCCTCTAGCCCAGTGGATCTAATGGATCTGATTTCCCCAAATTACTAGATAAATTGAGGTCATTTTTCAGCCCAACATCCATGGTTTTGAGTTTATTCTCAATGGAAAGGTCCCAGATCACCCATTTTACTGCCATTTGGGTGGATTCTTGTCCCCACCAGCAGCTGAGCAGTGATAGCAAAGAGCCTGGGTGACATCCCAATCTTGTAGCAAATGAGCCCACAGGTCTGGAAGCAGCATCCCTGGCTGCTGCAGCCTCTGTCTCCTTCACTTCCTTGTAATGACTCCAGGATGGGTGACATCCCAATCTTGTAGCTAATGAGCCCACAGGTCTGGAAGCAGCATCCATGGCTGCTGCAGCCTTTGTCTCCTTCACTTCCTTGTAATGACTCCAGGTCCCAAGTCCTTTAGGGTTGGTTGTTCTTCCTCCACACACATCAAGGGTGGGCTTGGGTGCTTAGTGAAACACAGGCACTTGTAATAATAGAAGGAGCTTGTGCAGGAGCATCTGAGAGGCAGCAGCACCAGCCTGTGTTTTCATTTGGACAAAATAATCCCAAGTTGTTGCCAATTACAGTGTGAAAGGTGGGGATCATTCCTGTGATTTGCTGAATAGGATACAAGAAGGTTTTGTGCTTGTTTGGTTATTTTCCCCCCCTCCAAGTTCAGATGTGAGCCAAGGACACACCAGGAGCAGCAGAAGCAGTGACTTCCTTGACAATCTCCCCCCCATGCTAAGGAGACATGTGTGCTCTGAATGAGGATGAGGTTTGCAAGTGCTTTTTTACCAAGTCAGGGACAGGGAGCAGAGCAGAATCAATTCCTGTCACTCACGGGGTTGCTCTGGAGGAGCAGGATTATGGATCAGGGCGATGCTGCCACCTTTTCATCTGGAAATCAATAGAGGGAGGGAAGTTGGGCTTGTGGGGATGTGGCAGAGATGATGATTTGGGGTTTGATGAGAGTCTACTCTGCAAACAACTTGAGTCACTAACTCCTCTCCATGTGTTCAGCCTTGGTACAGCTCTCTCAAGGTCCCTGGGGTCCCCCTGTGTAATTTGAGTCCAGAATTTCTCACAAAGACAAAAAGTGGTTGGAGTTTGAAGGGACCTTTGACAATCATCTAATCCAACCCCCTCTGCTAGAGCAGGATCACCTGCAGTACATCCCACAGGAACATGTTCTCAAATGAACCAGGGCTACCAAATGCTTTGTTCTCTTCCTTTGCCTTTGCACGTAGCTCAGGAATGACCAACCTTTCACCCCACTGAGCCTAATATTAATACCATTTGTATTAGCCTGGGACTTTGATCACCTTCCTTCCACTGTGTAGCAAACAAATTAAATTCCACAGGCATTTTTATAAATACAAACAGTGCCAAGTCACCTTGGGGTGCCTCAGAAACCAAAAATTCATAGAGTCACAGAATCATTAAGCTTGGAAGAGACCTCTAAGATCATCAGGTCCAACCATCAACCCAGCACCACTATGCCAACTAAACCACATTATTCATGCACAGTTGTTTAAAGCTTGGATGTTGTCAGAGATTTGGTGCCTCCTCCTGCAGGCTGTCCAGACTGGTTCATCTATGGATGTGGAGCAGCAGCTTTGGTTTGCAGATTTGCCCTGTTGCTCCCACGATGGTCATGCACTGCCTGGGGTGACAAAGGGATTGCAAGAAGCTGCTTAAATGTGGGCTGAAAGTTTGTCCCCCACCTGTGTAGCTTATGGATCTGGGAGTGATGGGTGAAATCCCCTGCTCGTTAGGATGGCCTGCAACCAGTGAGTCCAGAGTTATTGGTCAGGGGGAAATGCTGGGGTGTGAAGGCCAAGCAGAGCTCAGCAGAGCTGCACGTGCCTGCTTCCCCTACAAATCACACTTTTGCATTCTGAGGTTTCATCTCGTGGAGGAAAAACCTGGTGAACTCCTCTGGTCCTCAGCAACTGGCTCAGAAATCCAAACGTTCAGACCTGGGGCTCAAACCCTTACACCACCCCTCTTCATCTCCTGCCTGGTTTCTTCTTATTTCCTCATGCATTCTGCTTTACATCGCTCGGTGCCCTGGGCTGCCCCAGCATCTGCTCCACGTTGAGGAGCACCAGCTGCACGGTGGCACCTGTGACTCTAAGGTAGCAAAACATGTGAAGGTTGGAATTAAAGATACATGCCCAGCTCCTGTTCAAACATCAGCTTTTCTTTCTTTTCCAGAGCACAGTCATTGTGGAGAAGACTGTTCAAGACCTGATGAACCTGATGCACGACTTGAGCGCCTATTCAGATCAGTTCCTCAATATGGTGTGTGTGAAACTCCAGGAGTACAAGGACACCTGCACCCTTGCCTACAGGTACACCCAGGCTTAGAAACTGGTTTCTGCTGGAAATACTGCTCTTGGGCTCTTGCTGTTTTGCCATGGATTACTTTTAGAAACCATCCCCGCGAGGGTGGGTGAGGATGTTTCTTTCTAGGTGGGGAAAAACACTGAAATAATAATCATTGGTGTTGTCATTAGGGCAACCCAGGGGGGTTCAGATTGAACCCCCTTGCTTTCTAAACTCCTTCTCAGAGAGGAGCCCAGGTGCAGCTGGATCCAACCTTGGTCTCAGACCTGGCCCTTCCAGGGACAGTGATTGAAATGTCACAATCCCAGGAAATGCTCAACCTTCCAATACCCCTTGATCAGGTTAAGGTGAAACCACACTGTATTGGAATTAGGTGTAATTAAAACTCTAGAAGGAATGTGGGTACTTCAGTTATTGTCTTAGGCTGCACAATCATAAAGGCTGACATTTAGATCACAAGAGGACAATACAGATCTATTTAACCTGCACAACCTGAGAAAAAAGTCATTGTGTGGCCTTGTGTTACTTCATGGTTTTAGGAAGAGAGAGAAGAAAAGGAGAAGAAAAGTTTAGAGAGAGATAGATCATAGAAAATCACCAGTCCTGGACCCAGCATTGGGCCAGCCAAGGGGGGAGAGTTGGTGTCAGGGAGGCTCCCCAAGCCCACCATTGCAGCCCCCTGTTTGATAGGCCTAGTTTCCTTGTTTCACAAGGATGAGCAGGTGTGACAGAGTCATAAGACTGAGCAGCAGGAGTGGACCTTCACCCCCTCCAGCCCTTGATCATTGTCCTTATCTCAATCACTGTACATGCAGCCTCCAGGCCACCATCTTGTCTCCATCCTCTCTCAAAGGCCTTTTGGGATGCAAATGGGAGGGGTTACAATGGGGTTCCCACACCAATTCCAGCAGCTGTGGGTCCTGAGGGCTGCCCCCTCACAGGTATTTGAAGAGTCTTGGCTTCCCAGTGACTTTATCAACATCACACTGTGGTTTAGACTGTTTAAATGTGGATGGCAGAGGTAGTAGAACTTAGAAACTCCACAACTGTTCTCTTAATGAGTCAAAAGGACCTCAGGTTGGAGGTGGAGAGTATAAGGCATCATCTTTAACATAAATCTCTGTATCTATCTATTGCTTGGTCGTAAAGCAAGTCAGGTTCTTCCATGGCAGTATTCCCAAGAGACTCAGCTCTATTTTAGTTAATTATATTGATACCAGACCCCACCTGTATTGTGTCCAGCTGTGGAGTCCTCAGCACAGGAAAGACATGTTGGAGCAGGTCCAGAGGAGGCCACAAGAATTATCAGAGGGCTGGAGCACCTCTGCTGTGAGGACAAACTGAGAGAGTTGGGAGTGTTCAGCCTGGAGAAGAAAAGGCTCCAGGGAGACCTTATTGTGGCATTTCAGTACTTAAAGGGGACCTATGAGAAACACGGGGATGTACTTTTAGCAGGGCCTGTCACAGTAGAACAGGGGGTGATGGTTTTAAACTGAAAGAGAGGAGATTTAGACTCAACATTGAGAAGAAATTATTTGCTGAGAGGGTGGTGAGACACTGGCCCAGGTTGCCCAGAGAGGTGGGAGATGCCCCATCCCTGGAAACGTTCAAGGTCAAGTTGGAGGGGACTCTGAGCAAGCTGAGCTAGTTGAAGATGTCCCTGCTCACTGCAGGGGGGTTGGACTAGATGACCTTTAAAGGTCTCTTCCAACCTGAACTATTCTATAATTCTGTGATTCTATGACATTTGGGTGTTCAGTTCTCATGGCAATGTAAGAATTAGTTACTACTGGACACCATATAAACACACACATATTGGGTTTTGTGAAACCTTCCCAAACCTTTCCATAAAGTTACACTTTTAAGGGGTCATCAGATGCCCTGTCCTGGGTTGTTTTTGTTTCTCAGTGGTTTTGGGTGATCTCTGTTCTGCTTCCCCAGCCACGATATGGAAGCTGAATGCAGTGTGGTCCCCCTGGGCATGGGGTGATCAGGCTGGGTCATGGGGGTTGAGTCCTTCAGGCACTTGCTTTGTCATAGATTTCCTGGGGGACCATTGATAAGTAACTTATTGTCCATACATCCCAGTTGCCATCTGTAAACTGCCCCTCCCTGGAGGGGGGCACCAGGAATGTGGCCCACACCACGGGGACATACACTTGCCTTGAAACCACCAAAGATGCTGCAGCAACGTGGGCTGTGATAGCTGCTCCACAGCATCTCCTTTCATGGCTAATTGAGGCTGGCAATAGCAGGGGAAGCTGAAAAAAAGAAAAAAGCCCCTTGTGTTTTCTGACCAGGAGCATTATTTTCTAGTGCCTGGTTTCATTCAGGAGAAGCTTCGTCTGGCGAGCACGGGCTGGTTATTATTATTAATAATGCCAACAATAAATAGCCCTGAGCACATATGTGGGCTAAACTTCATCTGAGCACTCGTGTTAATTGGTAGCTGCTCATCTGCCATTGTCCAAAACGCTCATATTTTATATGAAACTTCACTGACTGGAACCAGACAATGGATGTAATTTCTTTGGCTTGAACTTAAAGGTCCTTCCTTCCTTCCTTTCCTGATGCCATTCCTGGATTTGGCACCTGCTGAGGAGTAATTAGGACAGCCCTAATTTGGCAATATCCTGATTGCAGCAGGAGGAAAAACAGGAAATGTTCTAGTTTTGCTGCTAGCAAATAACTGACAGAAATAGAAATCTATATACATTTCAAATGATGCAGAGGAATAGAGCAGCTCCCTGGTTTTCCCAGGTCCGATCCGTGGGGATGTTATGCCCTCTGCAGGGATCCCATGTCAATACGGCTCCACGCAGCCTTGCCTTGGGTTTTCCTTAGGGGTTTGAGGTGGATAAATCCTCGTGTTGATAAAGTTAGTGGAGGAAGGATCATTTATAGCTGCTTAACATGGGAATAAACTCCCTAGAGCTGGGTACTAACGCGATCGGGCGAAGTTACCGGAGCAGCAGAGCGTGTGTCAAGTTCTTGAGATGTCCAGACAGTGAGAATTTGGGAAGCCAGAGAGATGATTTCTGGAATTTGTGCACGTGGTTCTTGAAGGGGAACAGGACCAAACGTGGATGAGGTGTATTCAAATGCAGGCTTTTGAGAGCAAGGTGTTTATTCAGAGCCCTCCACAGAACGGGAACGTCGGTGCTAAAAAACACACGGCTGAGATGGTTCATGTTTGGTTCCCATTTGGCTCATATTTTCCAGTGAATGCAAAAAAAAAAAATAATCAGAAAAAAAGCCACCAAAAAAAACCCCCACCAAACCCTAACAGGGCTGGGTGTGGATGGATTGGACATTTATATAAGTAGCAACAATTTTCTTGCTTTAACCGATGAAGAATTTGGGAAGCGCGTTTAACGTGACATAGGTGAGGTGGCTTCAAATTGCATGTTTATAAGAAGTGCAGTTTCAGTTTGATGCAGACTGTTTACAGGGATGTCAGTGATGTTTTCTGACTAGTTTGTGACGGGTTGGAGATGAAAATGAAAACAAAAATGGGAGGCAGAGCCACAAAACCTCCTGCTGTGTTGACAGTCCCGTCCAGCCAACGTCTAGATGGTTCTCCAGCGGATTTCAGTGAAAGCAGCTCTGCTCATGAGTTAAGCCATTAAATGGTAGTTAAACCATTTTTACAAGGCTTTGGGAAATACTGAAAGGAATCACAGAGACAGGGAAAAACCTGAGTAGTTCAAGGTAGCTACGTGAGCCTGTCCTCATCACAGAGCTGCTCCAGCCCTCAGATGATTTTCCTGGCCCTTCTCTGGACACGTTCCAACAGCTCCACATCTTTCTTGTGCTGGGACCACCAGAGCTGGACACAGTGTTCTAGGTGAGGTCTCACCAGGGCAGAGCAGAGGGGCAGAATCACCTCTCTCCATCTGCTGGCCACACTCGTTTTGATCCAGCCCAGGATGGAGTTGGCCTTCTGGGCTGCAGCTGCACTTTGGTCGCTCATGTCCAGCTTTTGATCCACTAGAACCCTCAGGTCCTTTTCCACAGGGCTGCTCTCAGGTGGGACCTCCCCCAGCCTGTATCCATATCTTGGGTTACCTTGGCCCAGGTGCAGGACCCTGCACTTGGCCTTGTTGAACCTCATGAGGTTCCCCTGGACCCACTTCTCCAGCTTGCCCAGGTCCCTCTGGATGGCATCCAGTCCCTCTGGCATATTGACTGCACCACCCAGCTTGGTGTCATCAGCCCTTTCAGTGAAGAAGCCCTTAGCAAGCAGTGCTCAACACACAAACATCACCTCAGCCCTGGGAAGAGAGAACAATTCTTCAAAACCACATTTGGCACCAAGCAACAGAGCCTCATTCACCCCTGTGGCCTCCAGATGTTCTTCCTAATGAAAAGCCATGGCCCCCCCAGCTGTGTCCAGGGATGTTCCCCATCACTCTGCTCCCAGCTCGTTGGTGCCAGTGCTGAAATTCTGGTCCCATGACCACCAGCAGATGTTTCCTGGATAAAACCCAGCGAGCTGTGGAGGGATCCACCCTCCTTGCTCAGGTGCCATCACCTGGGTAGATGTTCCACCCATTCCCCCCCAGCTCCCAGGAGCTGGATGCAAACAGATGGCACCTTCCTTGGCCCGTTGAGCTGTGGATTAATTAGTTGATGAAAGGCACTGTAATTGCATCCCTATTCCAGCAGCAGGAA